AGTTCACTAGAATGTATACCCGAAACTATCTCACCTATGACAAAGGAACTGCAGGATTCTACAATCCTAAAGCTTTTTAATATGACTTCTAGAATGACTCATACTGACTCAAAAAGTGCGAAGGAGTTAAAAAACGCCATCGACTTTCTATCCAGCGAAGTTGTTAAAAGGCTGGCTTCAAAACAAAACGCAATAGTGTATAATGTACCGGATATCGAACCCATAAAGTCAGTCCAGCACTCACTGCTGAAGGCTGCAAATCTCTTGAATGCACCTTGTCAGTGCATTCACCTAAGTAATAAAGACCTAAAGCATCCTTGTCCTGTAGTCTTTAGGTTCGACAGCTACATAATAGCTGAACGATTTAAGATGGCCGAAGATCTTCTGGCTACTGCCACTAAATTCAAGACTACTAAGGTAGTCTCGGATAAAACACCAAACCAAAGGCAAACAACCAAGAACTCCTTCGATACAAAGTTGACAACACTGAGAAATACATCTAGTATGAGTGCTAAAGTGTCGACGGACAGTGAAGCACAGCAAGTCACGTGTATAGTGTTAGGAGAAAAAATGGCAAGTAAAAGTGATCCAAAGCTCAGTAAGAGCAGTGCCACTGGGTGCAATCTTAGAGTACACGAGAGCACATCTCGAAAACCTGCTGACCTACCTGGAGTTGACATTAACGCACAAACTATGGCTGACCAGAAAATACTGGCAGACCACACTCAATCTGGGTCCAAGCCAGAGAGTCCCTCAGTAGAAACGGCAAAAAAGACCACAAAGCCCAGAGTCCCACCCCATACTTTGATATACCTCCCTCGTAATAAGTCTAATAAGCAGCGTGTCAGTCTAAAAAATGACAAAGCATGGGTAGCGAAGCACATTCCCAAAGACGTCACGCAGCATGTGAGAAGGAATACCCCTTCCCGAACTAGAAGTAACATGCCTAACATCGCACTTAACTTGGGAATGCAACGTAGAATGGATCCTTAGGATATATGGAGCACCAAACGGGACTCATATAGGCACCATATTAACGAAAGTTCTCGTCCAAACTCTCGCATTATCTACGTTAAACCTCATCAACATAATGAGAACAGGTCGACACATGATTCCCCCAATAACTTCACTCACACACGTGATGTGAGCCAATATGCTTACGGTTATGAAAGCCCCATGAGGTACAACTACCAGGGTAATCTTAACACAGGGTACCTAGGTCCAGCAAGCTACAAAGCAAATTGCAGGGCAGACCATATATCACCAGTAGATGAATGCAGATGCTGAACCATGGATGCTAACAGTCAAAATATGCAACAGGATCATATTCGGCTGCAGCAAACAATAGTCCCACTCGCTGCACAGTTCATCCAGGAAATAGTATACACACTGACTCTGTCTCACCTCAGAGCCCCTCCAAACATAACGTAGGGATAGTAACAAGTAACCATGTTAACCTCTCCTCCAATAACTCTAGTTTACTAACAATTATGCTCCTGAATGCTAGATCTCTCCATAATAAAGTAACAACGCTTCGCTATCTGGCACACATAGAACGGCCAACACTAATAATGGTGACTGAAACCTGGCTTACTACTGATATACCCGAAACAAAGCTAGTAATAGACAACTGCGACATCTATAGGAACGATAGAGTTGGCAAAAGAGGAGGCGGTGGCTTAATATATGCCTATAAATCCACTAACTCCAATACTTTCAATAACCCAAATACTGACAAACTCCCAGAATCTAAGTGGATAAGCACCCACACAAACGAAAGTAAAATTCTCGTGGGATGTATATACAGACCCCCCAATAGCCCTGAAATGACTGATATAACTATTGGAGAAATACTAGAGCATGTAGCCACGCTGGACTTCGACTACAAAGTAGTATGTGGAGATTTTAACTTACCTGGAGTAAACTGGGATACCTGTACAGGACCTAGAATCCATGAAGAGCTACTACAAGCTATAGACATAGGAGGATGGAAGCAGTGCGTACGCCTCCCTGCAAGAAACCAAAATTCTCTTGACTTAATCCTTTGTCATAACATAGAGCCCATCTCGATAGAGGTGGGAAATAAACTCGATAACGGTGATCACAACATACTGTACTGCACGCTACCCCATCCGACTAACAACTAAATACACACCTAAAAATTTCCCGGTGTGCTATCAATATAGGGACTATAAGAATGCTGATTGGGAATTCCTAACAGATGTGTTGAGAAGTTCTGACTGGGAAGAATACTTCATCAACAATAACTTAGAAATATCCCTTGGCGAGTCATAAAGAGCATCTCAAACAAACTTCAGACCTTCATTAACAGCTGTCTTCGCTCAATACTGAAGATCAGATGGCCAGAAAAGATCAGCAACAGGGATCTCTGGCAATGAGCGAACCAACCCAGCAGGAACCGATTGTGAAACAAATAGTTGGTAAGAAATGGAGATGGATTGGCCATACGCTGAGGAAACCATCAAGTGACATCACTAGACAAGCCATTGCTCCAGTGGAACCCAAAAGAGAAGCGGTCGGCGAGTTGGTCGTCAGTGCAAGGGTGACTTGGAGGAGGTCAGGCGAGGAGGAGATGAGAGTATGTGGACATACCTGGAGCAGGGTGAAAAGGTGTCAGAAAACCGAAGGCAGTGGAGGTGCGCAGCTGAAGCCCTATGTTCCTCTAGGAACTAAAGGATACAATAATAATAATCCCTTGAGATTTTCTAAAAAACAGTTGGCTCAGCAAGAGACACAATCACACCCCTAAAATCTGCTCTAAAGACACCAACTCCATTTATTGACCGCAAAACGCGACAAAAACTAAAGAAATTGGAAAGGAAATACCATGTATTTAAGGAATTTAATGCGTTAAACCAAATACACGAAACTCTTAAACTGCTTGAAGAGAAACACAAAATGATATCACAGCATGAGGAAAATAAAGCGCTTATGGATACCACCAAAACTCAGGAACTTTGTAGGATATTGCAGAAACGTCTAAAAAGCAGTAAAGACAATAATGTAAGTATCTTGGAACATAGGGGTATAATATACAATGATCCCCAGGTTATAAGTGAACTCCTCAGTGAGTGGTTTTGCAATGACACCAGAGTGCACCCGACCCCAAATTTCCAAATGGCCTGCAAAAGTAACCACAAATTAGGAGAAATAGACTTTAATATACAAAATATAGACTCAGCGATTAAGACATTGAAGTCAAATGGCAGTACTGGAACAGACGACATACCATCTGTCATATACAGAAATGGTAGCACGGAAATGGTAGTCTTGTTACTTAGAATATTTACTCTGTCACTGGAAACTGGAACTTATCCTGAAGTGTGGAAAACCACATACATATTACCTAAGCACAAAGCAAGGGCCAAAACCAGTGCATGCAACTATAGACCTATTAATATAACACCGGTAATATCACGAATAATGGAGAAAGTGGTTAAAGACCAAGTGTCAGACAACTTACTAGAACATGAACTTATCAATACTGAAGGTAGTGCCAGATTCACGATCAGAAGTGTTTACTGATCGCTGATATGGCGGGAGAAAAACAAACAACGAATGACTGATGCAGTCCTTAGGGTCTCAACAATGGGATACGACCAGGTCACTATCACCAGTGACTTCAGTACGTCACCGCATGGTGTCGGCGTCAATAATGTCTACAGAGAAGCCCTCCGTAGAGAGTTGCTGTTTACTGCTATTAAGACGGACAGCTATTAAGACGGGGTCGGACGATTAACTATCCCATGTAGATTGCCATCCCATAAGTACCCCATACTCATAGCGAATATGCACTGCCCCTAGAAGTGATTGTATTACAAGGCTCGATGGACAGGGGAAAATTCCAGGCAAACTAAGTCAAGAAATTTCATACCGACCCTAAAAATCTGTGCCGATTAAGTCTTTAGAGGAAACCGCTAGCCAAGGAGTATGTATGCCTGGTGATCAGAAGGGCGAATTTCTGGACAGACTGTGCTTTTCGTGGGGAAAGGTAATCAATGGGGTATTGCAAGGAGAAATTCTGAATCCACTGCTCTTTGTAACCTTTATAAACGGTATCCCTAGCAACTTAAGCTCCTCATCAATTTATACTTAGATGAGGTGTCTGCGGTGGGCCGTAGGAAACATCCGAGGTTCGACTAGTCTGGTGGAGGCCCTAACCAACTTGGAGATATAAAGCGCGGAAAGCTTATGGTCAATTATTATGGTTGAATCTGTAAATCCTAAGCTATTGCTGAATATTACCTTACACAAATTAGTACAGAACACAAAGCGTCTGATCCGAGAAACACTGTGTTATCCATCAAAGTATCTCAACAGAAATGTTAATCAAGCAGTGGCAGAAAAATTAGGGGTTAGTGTCTTTTTCTTTAGGGTTAACTACCAGTGGAATTCACTGCTCGGTTGCATGGCGTCCGCTCCATCAGTTGACAGCTGCAAGAGAAGACCAGACCTTAGTGCAAGGATATTAGACTGTGTGTATGTATAAGGAAGCGAAGCTAGTTTGCAGATACTGTGCTACCATTAAAAAATCCTACCCGGGTTAACTCATCTTTACATGCTTCGTTATTTTATTATCCGTTTTATTATTAATTTTCTGTACATTCTCTTTATCTTACTAGTCTTACACCTATTCATCTTATACTACTGTCCATTTGCTCAGTCTATTGACTACCTGGACTACCCCCAACCTGCTATCGCTTCCTCCGGAGTGTTCGTAGTTCTGACTGGAGGACTGCGCGATGAAAAAATTCTCAAGCCTAAACGGCTCAGGTATATCACTGCCATTGTACAAATCTCAGATAAATAAAAGTACAAAAGGACAATAAAACCATGTTTAAACAATTAATTTCACTTTTTATAAGCGTTAAACTAAGTTCTTCAACTTTTCTGAATGTTATAAAAAAAAGATGTTTTCCGTTTGTTTGAACGTATTAAGTGCACACGTATTGTGTAAAACGTCACGACAACAATTCGAAATGTCTGGTGAGACCCCAAAAGAGGTAGTGATTAACAAGTGGGATGTCGGTTCTTTGAAATTAGCTCTTGATGATGCTGCTAAAGAGGTAAGAATATCAGTTCTCATTTTCTAAATAATATCTCCTAGTTGTTCATGAAAAAACTTGGTCTAGTTGAAACGCACCGATTATTTGATGGACGATTATTTCTATGTACAATATCTGTTCTGATAGCTGGTTTTGGTGTTTTATTTGACTATATATACCCGCATCCACGATCTCGAACAGTTCTGATAGTTTGTATTTCTCTTTACTTCATAATGTCTGCAATAATAACACTGTATGTAATGTATGTGGAAAAGAATGTTTTCTTCACTGGATTAAAAGAGGATAAAACTGGAGTTGATCCTGCTGATACGTGGAAAAAAAAAAAAAATATGAATAAGTAATTAAAATTTTCATATTTTCTCTAAATGCTAACTCTATTTGCAGATACGATCCTACATACCATTTTAGCCTAAAAGTGTGTGACGGTATAAGCAAGAAAGTGAAAATGTCTACAATAGAAAAGTCTGCTGCTGAATTTTTTAACGTAAAGGGAGAGTTACAAAGGGATCGGTATAATGAATTCCTACAACATCTAGTATCAGATCTCTATGGGGATAAAAAGTCTCAATAATAATGATAATAATCTTCAGGAATTTGAATGGTTTGTACATTATTCCAATATATTTTTCTCACATAAAAGAAACAATTGTGACAATGGTTGGTTTTTGTTGTTTCGATAACCTGGAAAAATTGTTCCTGCGTAAATTCAATTTTTGTATTTGTGATATTCAATAGGTAAAAGATACTTTGGTGACAAAAATGTGTTTTTATCCATTGTAAACGGCATACAAATGCCATATTTGCTTTCTTCAGATTAGTGGTTAAGTGGTGTATCTAGGATGCTATTATAAAGTGCACATTTTTGTCTTACGGATCACTAGTCTTGGTTGCAATATGGGCAAACTTTATTTTAATAAAATCTCATAGTGTTGTATAATAATATTTACTGTGTGACACTGAGAGACTTTATCAAAATGAATTTTATCCACAATGGAATTACACTATTACAGCGCCCAAGTCCTGCTCTTATACCACTAGTTTTGGTGGCTAAATTAAATGTAACTCTTAACCATATGAAAACTGACAATTGACTAGAAACAGCCTCTTAGAGAGGCATATACTATCTGACTGGTTGGGGTCCTTTGGACTCTCAGAACTAGTCACTTGAAACAAATAGTCATCTCATCATGTTTTTGCAGGTTACTATTCTTTCTCTACTTCTGCCTATGAAAGTTCGTCTCAATGTCTTCTGTCCTTTTTTCGCTTTGTGTGATATATGGGGAGTGTGGCAGCTTGAACTACTGCTGTACTTCATTCTTGAAAGTCATTTAGTCACTGGTAGTAAGAAGTGTAGTCAAATTTCTATCTGCAACGTAACTACTAAGAACTAAAAACTATTTAGTTTGTTCACGTATTTTACTGGAAAAGGGTGTGAAACAACTTGTGTGTTGATCTGTGATTATAAAGTGGAGATCCTTTATCAACTACAGACTATTTGTTTATTGAATTACTAGCTTGGTGCTTTGTGAGTACCAAGAGATGCGCCAGAAAAAATCTCGAAGCTTTTGTGAGTTCTGGGATAATACGTGGGAGCCCAGACCTAAGCAGGTGAATATCTTAAGGAACTGCTCTCTCGAGACTTTCATTTGAACTCTGACCCACATTACAGGGAAGCAGCATCAGGATCTGCCGCGTTCCCATGGTTTCTGGTAACCAAGACGTGTTCATAAGCCATTCGATCCTTTCCCTTTCAGAAGCTCATGCACATACCATACCATCAGGGTTTTTCAGCTCCTTTAGGTACACCTGCACCTGTAGGTGTAGGCACCAGACATTCCTGTTCTCTTTTTGGCTTTTGTTAAGAACACGCGCGATGCTGCTTGAAGGCAGTGACTAGGAATTACATAGCAGAGACTACAAACGAGTGGTTACATCTTAAGATGACGTAAGGCTAAATGCACTTGACAGTATCAAGTGACATGGTGATGGGAGAGAGACGAAGAGTTAGTAGGGAGTTGTGGGTATTGTCTCTTCGAATCAAAAAAAGTCAAGCGATCAAACTCACTGAAGACAAAGGTGAAAGGAATGAGGGGGAGTTATTAATATAGTGTCATTGATACACAGTATAAATTTTGAGGAGAGAAAACAAAAATTACTAGACCCGTTAGGTGTATCACGGGGCTATTAAATGAAACTATTCTGACTATTTATTTGATTATATAGACAGAAACTATATCAACCAAATGAGTACATGACTTTCGACAACAGCTTATAGTTACAAGGGATACAACCAACTGAAATTTTGCCTTTTTTTGGATTTGCATAAAAAGAAGTATAAGGAGATCGAGTGTTTGACTATTATAGAATATATAGAGTTGCTTGAACAAAGTACGCACATGCAGAAAGCAGAGGCTTGTCTGAATATCTGATCGTTCAGGGTAGATAAAAGAAAAGAATCAGAAATTTGAACGGACTTCAGAATACATTATATGATATAGGGCCATATGTTAAAAGCAATTATTCGACTTTCATTCTTCCTTAATTCTGATTAGTTGTTAATGGACAGTAAACATTGTGGTAAGGTGGATCAGGTATAGTGTAATTTAGTCATTAATTGATTCGAGTGATGTCTTGACCTACGAATAGGACATGGGCTCTACTGTGGTAGAATATAGTTCTATCAATAGAGCAAATTTATTTGGTGAATCCATGCAGTGGCTGGTACAGTGTTCTTTGCCGAGGACCATGTTTTTGGCACAATTCATTGCTTCTCATAATCATCATATCAAGGGAGTTCTCAGTCAATGATTCACATAACTTCCAAACTTCGTTTATAATGTGATCCCATTATTCGTAATCCTTTCGTTGATATTGTCGGTAGTAATATTTTCCGTACGCGTGGTATTGACGTGTCATTCCTATCTCAAGTTGTTCTTTTGTGTAGATTCGATGAAGATAGAGTGACTGACCTCTCTGTCTTCGCCTACTTATATTACTGTTTATAAGTGTAGATCTGTTCCACAGCTTATTATGTGGTTGTTGTTGTTGTTTCCTCTAAACTAGTCAACTTTTTGGGGTCCAGTCTGTCGTCGTTCTGCGCTTTACTAAATCCTTATGTTCTGATAATCTGACTGACTCCCCATGATCTACTAGTGTGACTGACCTATGCAGTTGACTTCGGTCAGAGTCACGGCAGGGTATTGTGTAGAATGCATTATTTTGTCTAATTGTGTGTGAAAAGATTTGCTCTGCAGAGCATATCCTTAACTGAGTTTGTAAGTATTTGTAGTTATGTATAAAGAGTGACTTTCCTGATAGTGGCGATGTTGGACAAGATAAGTAGTTCATGAGGTCATATAGCGGGATGGAAGTAGGGAAATAAATCTGCGTAGATACACTACAGAAATCTAATTGCATGTCTTCTAGTCAGTGGTATCTTGTTTCATGAGTGGATATTATAATAAGGAAATACTTGGTCTCCCAAATTAGTTACTGTATCGGTTGAAACGAGTCCCAATTATGACACCAAACTTGTTGTGGGAACGGACGTCCAGCATTGTGTAGACGATATGTAGTCTTAGTGTGTGCGACAACATGCACAAAAGTTTCGGAAATCGCATATAATCAGTTGGCGATTATGCCAGTGTCTTTAAATTATCGGTGCGCAACCGGTAGGGGCCTGTATACGTTCTTACTTCCACAAGTGGACGGCCAGTAGTATTCGATTTGTCTGTGTACCCATGAAGTTGTGTGACTGGTGGAGAATGGAATGTGACGGAGGACAACTCTACCCTTCTATTGAAAGCAAGTACAGCCTACGTCATCTCTTCCTGTAAAGGGTTGGGTTCTCAAGGAATCCGAGTTAGTAGTCCTACTCTACTCCTGAGAAATCTGGGCTCTGTAATGTGAGCATGGACAACTACTCTGAGTGTCCGTAGAATAGCATTCATCTAGTAACATCATCATGGTATGAGTAATTCTGAAGTCTGGCAGAATGTGTCTGGTCGAGGTAGGAGATCACCTTTCAGTAAATGTTATTATCTTGGGATAACAGATTTGTAGCTGAGATAGGTACTGCGAATTTCATCCCAGAGTGTCTGTGACCTACTTTGCCGACAGTGCAGTTTATATTCCATGATGTCGCTTCACATGATAGATGCTTGTCTCACACTATCATGTACTGGTTCAACATTAGTCTCTTAATGATGTCTGAGAGCTGTTTCGAACCAATGACTAGAAACGTTATCAGTTATGACCGAGAATCGTAATCACAAGCGAAAACTTGAAGGGAAGTGACTGGATTTTCAACATAGAACCTTTTTGCTGTTGTCTGGAGACATGCAGAAAGATGCAAGCTTGCTGGCTTAAACATTAAGAATGAATATTTATGGAGACTAGTGGTGCCATGACTAAAGATCGTGTACAATGGCGTTAATATATTCACTGATTTTTGTAATCTAGATGCTGAATTTGCTTACTGACCAGGTTTCAACATGGTAGTTTCCACAGAAGCGGTGCAACAGTTCAAGTTGACACACTCCATATAGCACACAAATGTAAGGGAAATATATTCGAACTGCTACAATTACCATAAATGTTTGGGAGAAGTGATAGTGAGATGGAGAAAGGGAGGCTTTTATGGATCTGTGTAATTGCACAAAGAGGGAATACATATTCGTTATTGAGGAAGCCTGTAATCCAGTCGTGTGACCAGCAGTTTGGAGATATCTCAAGGCACTCTTCGCCTGCATACGGGGTTGGCTGTCTGGCCCAGACCAATTATCAAAGATGACACAATCTTATTTCGAGTTTCACTTTATCCAAGGATATATCTCTTCTCCAACCTAATCCTACATCACTCTTGACTGCTAATCGTGAGATTTGTGACTCGAAACGCGAATCACTTGTTGTCCTAGCTATCTCAATAAATATTCCGCCTGGAAACTTCGGTTTCTGGCTTCCGCTCCTTTCCACATAACACTCTACGGCTCACTACCTCAATATTGTTTACCAAATCACGCCACCTAAGACGTGTGTTGAAACTCAGATATCTCCAATCAGGGGGAGCTAGGCTCTTCAATATCCTTACCGGTTTTCTTCCTCAACATTGTCAATTCTGTTACAACCAGCCATCAGCAGTGTTAATTTGAGAGTGAGGGGAGGAAGTGTCTCATTATTCTCTCAGTCGCTGATGTTCTACTTTAACGGGGGACTGTAGATATTATTCTCATTGGCTTGTGCCGTCGGTGGCACAGTGGTTAGGACTCTCGCCGACCATGCACATGGTCCGAGGTTCGAACCCCCGCCGACGCACACCTGATATCTATGGTCGGCGTGCAAAATTTGGGCTACCGATATCCATGCTGAAAATTCCATACTTGTATCAAAAATACAGCGTGGAATCAAGCTGTAAATCAAAAATATAAAAAAATATTGCATACGCAAATTTTAGTCATTTCGCACCCGGTTCCAATCTCGTCTACACCTACTTCAACCTGAACAACTGGGTGGTATCGTAAGGCTCACACAAATGTGTTATTCGTAGTCTGGTGTATGATAGTCTGTCCATGG